TATACTGTACATAATTGAAAAGGTAGCATATATACTGAACAGTTGGGATACTAGCCAGGTCTAACTTCTCTGTCAGTTAAAGAGCCGATAGGGGTTGAAATGTGCCCATACTAAATTTTTGAGGACAGAAATAAAGATGATGGCTGTTGACTAGTTAATGCCATCAGATGTGACTGTATAAACCTTACCATAGTGCTGACATACTAAAAGGAGTATGACTAGTACATAAATTCTTAGTAAACAGATGTCGTACAAAAATTAAGAAATGGCTGCCCCTTTTAAGAAAAAACAACCGTTGGCCTGTCCTAATTTTCTTTGAGGGTAGGTTGCAGACTGAAAATGAGATCTGTGGCTATTTTCTTTGGCTTATTCCCTACCTCCTTTAAGTAGCATATTATAGAATTGCAAATTTTAGACAATTGACAACAGCATGTATAGGCTGTCAAGAAAACCCAAACACTTTTTTTCTGATGGAAACATGTACCGAGAACTGCCTTTAATGTTAATCAAAACTTCTTTTATCACAAGAAATACAAGCAAGTTTTTGAGTTACCTTATGAGTAAAAAACTTCTTCTATTATGTGCATATGTTAGATTGTTCTTTTACTAATACCACGATCACCTCTGCAAAGACTGGAAATCCAGATGTTTACTTGTACTTCCAGCATGTAGCATATTTAGAATCCTGTAAGGTTTGTTATGAATTACAATACAGGGTACACACTCTTCAGAATGATGTTTCTTGAGTGATATGTGAGGAAGAGACCCAGAAGGAGCTGATGGACCTGCTAGCCTATGACATGGGTGATGGTCTTAATCTTTGTAGACCATGTCTTCTTCCTTTAAATCCCATTCACAGTGGAAGCGAGATGGGACTTAGCAGTGAATTGAATAATAAACTAAAAAATAGCTAAGGGAAATTTTGTTTGTTTGATGGAAGATCATTCAGAACTACATTGGACAGTTAATTCTTGGTAGCTTGGTGTGGTGGGTTGACGCAAGCCAGCAATTAAGCATCCACCAGGTGCTCGCTCACTCCATCATCCACAGTGGGATGAGAAGAGCAGTAGTGTGTAAAAGCTCATGGGCCAAGATAAAGACAGTTTAATAAGTGAAGGGAAAAAATGAAGAAAAAGAAAATAAAACATGAACCTCACCACCAAGTGATGCAAAGAAAATCACTCACCACCTCCCACCAGAAGACCAATGCCCAGCCGGTCTCTGAGCAACAGCTACCTTGGAAAGACTAGCCCCCTTTTTATTGCCAAAAATGATGTCATGTGGTATGGAATGTCCCTTTGGTCAGCTGGGATCAGCTGTCCCAGCTGTTTCCCCTCTCAGTCTCCAGCCTACTTGCTGAGGGTGGGAGGGGCAGCATGAGAAACAGAGAAGACCTTTGTGCTGTGCAAGCACTGCTCAGCAATTGCTAAAACATTAGCTTGTTATCAACACTGTTTTAGTCACAAATCTAAAACTCAGCGCCATACAGGCTGCTGTGAAGAAAACTACCTCCATGCCAGCCAAACCCAGTACACCTGGGATTACAGGAGTCAGACCAGTTTATAAATATGTTAATGGAATTGAAGTATAACATTTTTATTCCATTTGTGTGTCTGTCTTTTCTCTCCTGCATGGCTTGTTTATGTACATCATTGTTGTACAACCTTCACATAGTAAAGCAGTAGTAAAAGCTTTAGCTCTGAACTTGCACCCCTTATCTAAGCAGTCTGCTCAATCAGATCTCTTCTTTCAATTACTTCTTACACTAATTGATATCACATCTGAATCAGCAGCTCTTGAAGAGATGAGAACTATAGCTTTTTGAAGCGTGACTTTTGACACCAAGGAGAGTAATGTGTTGACACAACTGATATTAATGGTAACTGTACCGCTAATTTGAGACACATACGGTAAAACTCCATATTTTGAATTCTAGGGCCACTGTAGAATTTAAAGGTTTTGGGATTACAGTGCTTTGATCTGTAAATTGCTGTGTAGTCCTATCTTTCAAGAGCCTCAGGAAAAGCACTCTGTAAATACTGATGTCCTAAAAGAAAGTAGATCCTTATTTTTCTAAGAGGCAGGTTAAGTTCTTGAAGTGTTGTTTATGTCTCATTTTCGTTACCTGTGGTAACTAGCTGTGTTCCAAGAAAGTAATGTTGATTGTATGGTGCTGTTACCTATGGTTGTTACAGCTTCTGCTAATGTGCTTTTCCTCTTGTGTTAGATTTTTTTTTTCTGCTTCTCATGATTAACAAGTAACGACTATACCAGGCTACTTATCAGGCAGATGATATTTTCCATCACAGAATTGAGCTAGATACAACATATGCTCAGATGTGCATGGTAGACAAAGCTGGAGAGAACACAGTTATGTTTTCTGGGGCAGACTTACATTTCACACAGTTGCTTACTTAAAAATACATTAACGGCTTATTGGTCCTGAATTACATTTTACTCCATGCACAAAACCAAATTTCTCCATTAGAGCATTTAGATTTTAATTCACAATCCTCATTAATTATTCTCATGTTATTATATATAACGATATCTAATAATGAAACCCAGAACGTAAGCGTCTTGTTAAGGTTAAGGATTTAAACATAGCAAAAATCAAGAATTACAGAGTTGAGGTTGAATATTTACCCAGCCTTGACTAAAGTAATTTTCACAGTCACCAAAGTAGCATCTCCTTAAGTAACAGAATATTCTTTCTCAGGTATCGTAAGTAATACAGAGTAACATCATATCATATATATTATTTAGTATAATGTACAGTTGGCAGGGTAAAGCACCTAAAAGTCACACAGTGAAAGGGTTATTTTTTAGAGTAACTGTAATCTTTGCATCATACACATATAGGGCTAAATTTTTAAAGGGGTCTCAATTTTCCCTCTGATTTTATATCCTCTGTCTATTTCTTGCATGTATGATAGGATTAAGATATCTGAGTTTTTAACCTCAGTCACTAATTGATATATCTTAATCCTTTCATATCTGTCCTTAAAATAAGAGGCCATCTTTAAAAATTTCACCTAAAGTGCTCAATTTTGCCTTCAGATACCTCCATGCAACTTCCATTGAAGTAATTGGAGCTGTGCCTGCTTATCTGATGGTGGAACTGGACTCATTGCAATTAAGGTACACATTTACCAACATAATTGGTCATCTGGAATAATCTCTGGCCCCAATGTGACATTCTGCATGTGCAGAATTTCCTAGATTGGACCCTCTGCGTGTGGGAGATTGAAGATTACAATGATAACTATTTCGTGCCTTGAATTTGTAGCTGTAGCGGAATTTTAATGTAATTTGATGTATTTAATTTTAATATTTTTAAATAAGCAGTGTGGAAGGAGAACATGAAAACAGCATATTTTTCACAGTGATGCCTTTATATATTTTTTCATACGCAACCAGCACACAGACATTCCATCATTTCCACAGCACATTATGGATGGTATGTGCATGCACAATTGTAATTTGTGCAGTGGCACACAGTTTAAAGTATCCAACCCTGAGAGTACTGCTTTTCTTTTTTTTGTGTGTGTATGTGTGTGTATCTTTGTGCTTGCAAAGCACAGACAAAAAAATGGATGTAAAGAATTCCACGGTTAGCTAGCATAAAACCCACATATGAGTACTTTGGAACCTCCTAACTCACAATAAAATCTTTAAAAAACATGATAGAGCACTTATTTTCCACTAATTTAAAATTCTGTGTTTTGTGATTGAAAAGTGTTTCCATGCAGCTTTTAAATTGGTGTCTCTCTCCTGTCACTGGTCTGGGCAGGGGCTGTTTACAAAAATCTTTGCTTTTAAAACTAATCATTTTGGAGAGAGTCATATAAATCCATGGTTGACCGAAAAGCAGAAAATTTTGTGGAGGTTTTCCCAAGTAAAATGCCAGTCTTGAATTTGTGAGCACACAAAAAATTCCAACTAAAAGAAGTTGTTCTGGGAAGTTATAACCTGTTAAAACACAGTGAACATAGTGAATACTCCTGTGGTTTAGAATAGTTACTGATGAATGTTTGGGTCTAGTTCTAGAACTGTAAAAAAGTGCCAGTTTTCAACATACTGGTTCTAATGGTATTCCTTTGCATTTATAGTGCTACCAAGTTTAAGAATGGCAGAATATATAGTTCCCTCTGGAAATTATCCACTACCACAAGGGTTAACTTATTTTGAGGATGCCTTAGCCCAAGGGCTTTCACCGTTATTGCAAGGTCATCTTCCTGTGGCAAGCACAGCAATATTGATTGCCATGACTTGTTCAAATTGAAGAAGATGCTCTTTAGAGCACCAAAACTTCTTGGATGTTTAAGATCAAATTTCTTTTTTTAAATAAACACTGTCATAGAGAAGTTGAAAACACAAGAACAAATAATTTCTTTGAAATAGAAGCGAACATCAAAGAGCAAAGTAGTGCTTTTAAAGGACTTTTTGTAAATTAAAAAAATGCTAGAAGATTACTCTATTTTTTTACTATGACTGGTTGAATGGAGAAATTATTCCTCTCAAATAATCTTTAGCTATGGCAAGCAATTATGTTTTAAGGTAGTAGTAGGAGTTCATTAACTTTAAAATAAATTTTAATACTTGTTTAATGCATTAATTCTTAGAATGCTACTGTAATATTTTCTACATTTAAGCAAATACATGGTTAGATGCTCATGGATTTATGTCCCCTGCATCCAGAATACTTAACAGCCTATCAGCTAAATTCTTTCACTCTTTTCGTATCTGTTGCACCAGCTTGGTTCTGTATAGGAAATTGGGATATCTGCCCATTTTCAGGTAAAGACTCTCACAATGGAAGTGCTGGATTTCTTGACATTAGTGTTCCTTTGTTCTGTGTTTACACCCTGCTTGTTCTACATGTTTGTACATTTCTTTGTTTCGTTGAGATGGAAACAAGCTAAAATTGTTGCGAAACTGTTTGTTTTTCCAAAAAGTTTTCCCTATTTTTAATTGATTTTCATTGTGTGTTTTTGCAGCAAGCTTAGTAGTGGAGGAGCGAACAAGACAGATGAAAATGAAAGTGCACCGTTTTAATCAGACGTCAGGGTCTGGTTCTAGCCAAGAACATGAGCGTGAGCAATATACCAAGGTAAAGTCAGTGGTATTGAAATGATACTTTGGCTTGAAAATTGAAGGAATAAACCTGTTTATTTAAAATATTATATAACCCTCAAGAACACTGTGTTATAAAGCCTGACAGAAATGTCTTCAAGTAATAGCTTTTTAACATCATTTTTACCCCCATCTGATGTGCATTAGACTTTGTCTGTGATGTCACCTACAATTAATCTGCAGAAAACAGAGCACTTCAAAAACTAATTCAGGGAAGATCCTTCAACAGCTGTTAAACAAAGTCATGTCACTCTAGCTTAGGAAGTCCCTGGCCTGCAAATCCCTGGAGGCTGGAAAAGTGGGCCATGGAAGTATCATGGTATGTTGGCCCTACTCTTTTTTGATTCTTTAGGCCCTTGCTGTTGTCTCTGACGTTTAGAATGCTAAACAGAACTAGACCCAGTCCCATGCAGCTGTTCTCATATTTGTATAATTTTTTTGCATCCTAATAATGTCACAGGTGAAGTATTTTGTTTCTTGAAATACATACTGATTACTTTGATTTCTTTTTCTAATAAAAGCATAAGGGTTTCCTCTGATAATGACGTGTACATGAAATTGTATTAATGATGTTATATAGAGGGAAGGGAAGTTTTTTTTTTTTTTCCTCGATAATGCTAAAATTATATCCCACAGCCTTGTAAGTTTAAAACTGTATAGGCTTCGAAGCAAACTGCTGAAAATGTCTCGCACATCTGCACTGCCACTTACAAATCAAGCTGTGAGGGGCTGGAGCTGAACTTTCTGCTAAAGATGTTTTGCCTTGTGATGCCTAATGGAGGGGGAATGTGTAGTTAGTTTCTGTGTTTTCCTTTTAGAAATACAGTACCGTGTTGGTGTAGGCAAAGTAAAGGGCAGAGACAAAACCAGTGGTAACTCAGTTGTGGGGGAAGCATTGCTGCAGTTCTCTTCTGGTGCCACTGGGAGTTAGGTACATTCGATGAGTGACCACGGGACGGCAGTATGAATATAGAAGTCTACTGTAAAAAATTCAGACACACACAGCAGTTGTGTGCACTAAAAATAAGGTCTCAGCATAACAGTAGTAGAAAGAAAATCACAGCTTTTATTAATTTAGACTTTTGTGCTCCAAGAGCCACATTTCAAAGACTTTCTTCACATCAGTAAGAACTAAATGCTTGGTTTTTTGTTTCTACATTTTAAGAGACAAACTTTCCACTTGTGAAAGGTGCCATACAGAAAACAACAAACATTGTCAAGCTCTCAACAGCCACGGACATCAGAACACTCCTGGTGTTCATTGCCATGGCACAGGCACCGGACTTTCTGTCTCTGCCCTTCCAGGGTCAGTTCCCTGTGTTTCGCAGAATTGATGCATGCCCTTATAGGCACAGGTTAAAATAATGGTTAAGTGAGGTATTCGGCAGAAACAAAATCAGAAATTTACTTAAGCAAGGGTAAATAGGCAATTGGACGTCTAACTTGCAATACTTGCAATATCTGACAGATTTGAAAGATTTGTTCAAGATCTTGTTACAGTTAAATATGGAGACAAATTTAATAAGGATATTTCTTTTTTGAGACCACCTCACTGTGAACATAGAACTTAAATGAACAGTTCTCAAAGGGAAGAGAAATAAGAGAAACAAGACTTTAGGTCCTCAATTGCCAAATTGTGGGATATCAGTACTATTAAAAAACCACAACAATTGGAATGGAAATTTCTAATTAGACCGTCTGGCAGAAGCCAGAATTTGTGTAATTAAAACAGCTCATTTGATACTGGATTTGCCATGACCTTCACAAGAGGTCAACTCAGGACAAGAGACTGAGATGCAGTGTGTCTCTGTGGTACTTCCCAACAGGTTAACACGTTTAAAAAATAATAAAAATGGGTTTGATAAAGTTTGCAGGAGAGAAAGGTAATGTGCCATCTGAGGACTTTGGCCAGGATGACCAAACATATACCTTTCTTCACAGTCAAAGGCCAGTTTTCTGATTTGAATTAACTGTGCTTACAGATTGATTCAGATGTTCATATTTTTTCGTTATGAAACATATTTTTTAATCCTGACTCTCTTTAATATTAATCATAAGCATTATTTTTGCTCCTTAATATATTTTTCTTATTGGGTTAATGTAGAGCCAATGTATGGTTAAATAGTTGTTGGAAAACGTCGACCTGCAATGTTACTAATTTCTCTTATCCTCTAGTACCTAGAGTTTTCTAGTGTTGTCTTCAGTTTTCAAATATATGTGGAAATGAAATAAAAAAATGAAATTATGGCATGATGAGTACTAGATGGAAAGAACTCTGTTGAAAATCGGTTTATTCAGATTTTTTTTAAAAAAATAGGACCACAACTCTGAGGAAGCAAATTCTGTGTCCAATGTTATAAGAAAAGTATTTTTAGACCCAGTGTTCTGACAGACATGTAATCCTTTCCATGCTTACATGGTAGTAAGGAGAATGAATTAGTTGTCCTGGACTTCAAATCCAAAAATCTTTTAAGTTTCATGTATTTGCTACATGATAATGGTGTAGTCCTCAATAGGATAGTCTAATCTATAATAACTTTTTAAGTGCTGAGAACAAATTATATTAGCATTTCTAACACTTTTTACTGTATTCAGTGATGTAGCTGTTTGCTTCATATCACTATGGTGATAGTCATCACTTTAAAAATGTTACTAAAGCAAACCTTGTGCTACTGTCTGTCTTTACCCTCAGAAGATGCTGCAAGAGTCAAGAAAATAAACCAGATAGATGAAGATTTAGACAGCTGTAATGGAAATGTAATAAGTCATATCAGGTGGTGCAGTAAAGCTGATGACTGAGACTTGTAAGGACTTAAGAGTATACCTAATTTCTGCTGCCAAAATCTGTGAAAAGTCTTTGAAAGCTGCAGGAGCAAGGCTTACTTTAAATAAAAAAGAAAAAATGTTCACTGGTCTAGTAGACATTTTGGAACAGCGAGAAAGAAATAGTAAATTACTATTAAAGGAATGGCAGTTGCAAGCAGAGTTTGACCCTCTAACAGAAATGCTTCTTTCTTCCCAAGTAGCAGTGTTTGCCTACAGTTTGAGAAAATAAGCATTTGTATTTACTAGAGAAATGATGGTGTGCTGCATTGAGAAAATGCTCCATTCTGCTTTTCAGAGCAATTAGCTCATATGGATTTGATTCTTCAACTATTTTAGCATTTGCAAATATGCTTGTTTTATTATATATAATATTCTCTAAACATTTCAAAAATTTTCATTCACTAGGGACTGGATCTTCTTTGCTATACTTAATTATGTATATGCCAAATTAATTCCTTAAAGTTAGGTATGTTTTCTCTTATGTTATAACAAGGCTTTTTTTCAGAGCTATTGTAACATGGCCTTTGCAATTTCCAGTCCATTTCTTGTGCTTTTTTTCCATTTCTGTAATTTCTTCTACTCAGTATCTCAATCTTGTAGTCTCAGTAAGCAAGCACTAGATTTTTCAAGCATGCACTGTGCAAGTTAGTGTGTAAACATTTCTAAACACTTCTGTTTTAAACATTTGTATAGCTCTTGATGGCTGTTCCACTCTAATTGTTTTGAGACATTCACAGAGCTCACATCCTTACTTCCTTCAGTTCCAGTGGAAAGATTCCATAATTTATGTGAAAGAGTTAAATTCTAAAAAGTGAAATGAAAAAGGAAAAAAAGAAAAAAGAAAAAAAAAACCACACAGAAAACAACTAACAAAACCAACAAACCCTCTGTGGATAGGGCAAAAGCATTAGAAGAAGAGCTTTAAACATCTGTCTGCCTTCTTTCTTGTATATTGATAAGACTGTACTGGCTAGCATGCACATATTTGTGCTGTTTCAGTGTTTGAGAGCATCAAAGCACTTTGGCAACATAGTTCTGGATTTGCATAGATATAAATGACAGTATATCTTAATTAGGCTTTTAATTCAAAATGCAGTAAGTTATTTATTCCAGATGCCACACACAGAACACAAACACTATGCTGCAGCTGCTCCGGTTTCCCAGAAAATGTGCAACACATTTTTTTGGAAGATCTGTTTATTCAAGAAAGTTACTGATCAGAGCACTGTCGTACATACTTAAAAGGATATCACTCTATATTTAGATGCACTACTGACTCGGTTAAGACTGTATGCGATTGGAAAGCATTTAGCAAAAAAGTGTAATCATGGCATTATTTCAGTGGCACTCTGTGGATTTAACTTGATAGTTATTGTCTACAAGGAAGGGCTGGGTAGAAGACTTGGAATGATACGAGGCTGATTATGTTAAGTTTTGTGGGATGCTGGGCAAGGCACTTAGGGCTATGTGTAGAAAATGCTCTTGGACATTGATGTGATGAGTATCTTCTTTTGACCCCCCTTTTGACCCTTTAAGGAAAAAGTATTAACTATATATCAGACATGGTGTAGTGGATATGGCGGTATTAGGCAGATGGTTGGACTTGATGATCTTAGGGGCCTATTCCAACCTAACCATTCTATATTGCTGTAACAGTCACTCCAGTACTGGTAGAGTTTCAGAAAATTCAATGACGTCCATTCATTCAACTCATGGGCTTCACTGCAGTTTTCCCATGGTTTCACTCATTTTTACTCTTCTCTGTTGGAAAGTTGAGTGCTGTTCACAGTAGTTGAGTTGGATACAATTATGAGAGGAGATACTTAGAATGACTGGTACTTACTGGGCTCTGGACAATCATGTGAGCTGCTTCTAAGACACAGACCCAAACGCTGGTGGGAGTCAGAGGTGAGGCCTGGATGCGCCAAGGTGCCAACTCCTGGGCTATGAACCCCAGCAGCATGCGGAGGAACCCTGTGTGAGCAGTCATAAAACTCAAGCTGCTTTGTGCGTGATTCCTTGTTAGAATAAGGTGCCTCAAAAGATAGCTGTGGTCTCAAGACTCGTGTAAGCCCCTGGATGAATCTAGCCCTTAATGTTTCTGGGCTGTTTTTTTCTTTCCTCATTTTAATTTCCTCACTTTAATCCCCA